GAAGTATGTTTGAGATTATTCATTAGAAGGAAAAACTAGCAATATTTGATGAGTAATATGCTTTATTTTTTATTTAAAATGTTAGAACTGTATGTACCATGTTTTGAGGCATGATCTCCCTCCTCTCCTAGAGCCCACTGGAGTTCATGGCATAAACTATGTTGATGCTGTAATGTATTTAAAAATACATATATATCAAGTAAATCCTTGTAATGTGACTGAAGACCATGGGATCTGCTCATAATTCTTACCTTGGCAAAAGGAGAAGTTGCTTCAGGTGATTTAAGAAGTAGTTTGAATAAAGCTAGATGCCAGCAGACGGTCAGCTGAGTGATAGGCTTTCCCTGAGATAGGTGACAGAATGTTTGAAAGTTGGCTTCTTGTATTCAGCCTGTAAGTCTTCAGAACCCAACAGATTTCCTAGTGTTATCCTCTATACTGAAACCGTATGAGAAAATTAGTTTAGAAGGTTGGTGGAGCTAGGTGTGCTATTCTAACCTGAAAGGTGTATTTACAGGGACTTTTAAAAACAGTGTGTGAAGTGATGTTGCACTGGGGAAGTAACAGATTCTGGCAGCACTCAGAGAATTCTTTGGATGCAGCAAGGAGTCGATGCCTGTATTGCAAGAAATTGTAATTTGGAAAGGCAACAGAGAGGTCATTTTTAATCCTTTTTATTCTGAATCTTTCTGGATGCCCAAGAAAAGAATAGTGGTTTCTGTTTAGTCTGTGATTCTGTCATTGTTAGAATAGGAGAGAGAAATACGTCTTCATTCTCCTTACAGATTTTACCCTCTGTGTCTCAGGAGGAGTGGGAAACAGAGATGTATTTTTTGACTCAGGAAGGCACTCACCCCCACTGTAATGATGATTTCATGTTGCTCCATTTTATTGCTGAGGCCTGGCATTTCCCAGTATGTGTCACCCCTGCCAGTATCCCCCTCTTTCCCATTGTTCTTCTCCAGTATTTGAACATGACTTCGACTTGAGTGACAAATCTTGAGGTGGAGAAAAAGGACATTTTTGTACTGTGCTACCTGGGTAGATGTACACATGGATTTATTTGCTCAGTGTAGTATCTGGGCTATAGGTAGGGTATTTTTTTTGTTTTCTGCATGATGTTGTTATGGCTGAATTGGACACTGCTCTGGGACCTGATCCATGTAAAACAGAACATGTAAGATGGATAACTGGATAAGAATTTCTGTCACCTGAAAGATGTCATCAGACAAACTTCATGCAGAGCTGCACACATCTAGCAGGTTATAGGCCATGGAAGCTCAAAGATACAGCCTGTTCCAACCTTATGAACTTTCAGCCTTATGAATTACTCTCCTCTATGCCCTCCCTCCCTTTGTACCTTGTTGTTGGTGCAAGGTTCTATGTTGTCAACTTCTGGGAAAAAAGTGAGGTACTCACAGCATAGTTTTCTCCCTGATAATTACTGTAAGCTTAAGCTATTTTAGATTTGTTGCTAGCAGATCTGAACACAACATCAAAAGCTCACGGGCCCTTCTGGTTTTTCCACCTAGCAAAGAGAGATGATGCAAAGGGAAATGTAACATGTTTTCTCTTATTCAGAAGTTTATGCTATCAAATATATGCTGAAGCATTTGCCATTTTAGAGAGACCTAGAGCATCTTTTATGCTGTGTGGTAACTGGGAGGTCACTCTCCAGCTTGCTGGCCCTGGCACTGAGCTTCTCTCTTGGTCACAGAGATCAAGATCCTGAAGTCCCTGGAGCAGAGTCGCATCCCCCAACACTGCGGGGCGTGTGTTGGTGTCTGTGTAACTCGGCTGCTAATCCAGCTGGATGAGCAAGCAGAGCTCCCATGAAGAGATATACTGGAAGGCATTTTAGCTTTCCTAAATTAAATTTATTTTTTAAATTTTGGTAATTTGTTACCATCAGACTCCTGGCATATACCATGGGCTTTTTCCTAAACCAGTTTGGTAACTGGGGTAATTTGAAGAACCAATTTCAGTTCTTATCTGTTAGTGAAAGGTTTGGTGGTTTCATACAATTAGATTTTATCTCTGGATGATACCTCATATGTACATTCACAACTTATATGTTCTGTCACTTGGAATTAAACACTTAAATACTGTTTCAAAAATCTTCACATTAGCCCTAACTGGCACAGAGCTGTGCCCTGTCCTTCCTCCTCTTTCAGAAAAGGCTACCTACTGTTCAATTTTACAGCTTTCTGATACATATATTTTTCAATAGATGGTTCTTAATATGTCTGTAGTGTTAAATTTCATCAAATAATCAAACTTCTTATGTGTAGTAGATCAAATTTTGTCCTGAAGAGCCTCCAGTGGTGGGAAACATGAGTGCTGAAGAATGAAAAACAGCCCCCAACATAAAGTGTATTTTTAAAATGAGATCATCATAGTATTTAAAAAAATCTGGTCTTGCAACTTATACCTTTCAAAGACAAATCTAGACAAGTTTCAGCTGAACAGTTTAGAAGAGAAACTTCTTTGTCTGAATGTGGACGGCATACAATTTCTGACAGATTTATACTGAGATTTCTAAGTACTCACAAAGGTAGTTTGAACATACTACTGTGAATTCTTACACAGTAATTACAAGCTTTAGTTTCTAGGTTTTGTTGAATTAGGTGGACTTAGCTACACAGATAAATTGAAAGAAATGTTCTTAAATTATATTTTATTCTGGATCTATAGAAATAAATGGAAAATTCTTGGAACACAATAGGTATATTTAGTGACTCTGTAATATAAAATATATTTCTCCTATAGGTGCTTTCCTCAAGTGTTCTAACATAAAAATTACTAAAGCCTTGCTTGGAGAGATTTTAAGATGCTGATACATGCAATGTAACGTGCAGTAGACAAAGCAGTTAAAATAAACATGAAAAATCAACCCCTGGGGTGTAGAAAGTTCACTGCATTAACTTATGCTAAATGGATTGAGATAAAACTGTGTCCATTAATGATTGAGCTGTTCTATGAAATTGCACCATTGTCTCTTTAAAATTATATTTTATAATTGTTAGCTTCTCAGTTTTTGACAGAAGTAGTATGAATATTATTTCTGCTATTATGAAAATTCTGTTAATTTTGCATTATACCTTGCAAAACCATGAAGAATTGTACTTGGTGTTTGAATCTAGATTCATGAAAGCTGACCAAGTAAATAACCATTCCTAAAATATAGGTATTTTGGATGTACTTTGGGGTTTTTCTCCTGTGTAATGTGTAAACTGATAGATAATATTACTTTACTTTGAGTCATCCTTTTCTTCATTCTTTGAGAAATAACATTGAAGATGTTTATTCATTAATGGTGCTATACAGTGATGTTAATAAGAAATTAGAAGCAATCACATTTATAAACCAGATTTCAGTAATGCAAATTAAATTTTCTAAATTACAAACATTTATTAAGTTATGACTTCTGAATGCATAACATGATCACTAAACTTATGCACAAAATAGAAGTAGAAAGATGTCCTAAGCCTCGCTGAAGGATTGTAACCAGAACTATGTTTTTATTACCTGAAACAAAGCTATTAAAGGGAGATGCTTGGATATACTTTTTGTTATGTTATTATGCTTCACAGATCCAGAAGCATTTATGTAGTTAAGAAAGAAGTGTCAGTGTTTTTCCATTTTAAAAATCTTTTTCATGAGAAGTGCAGTTGTGCTTATCTGAACCTAGCACCAGGGGAATGATGTCAATAGAAGTTAGTTCAGACTTTGAAAATCCCAGAATACTTGTGTTGAAGACCAGATCAGATCCTCTCCTGGTGATGGGAATGGTGAGGCCACAGTTTGTAACAATTTCTTCAGAGAGTGTTAACAGCAGTGTGAGAGCCTGCAGCGAAAGGGAGAAAGAAAGAAGGTAATACTAAAAGTTTTTGTGGATTTTGAAGAAGAATGAGAGTGTTTGTTGCCAAGGCTGAAAAATACAAGCTATGAAGAGGTAGCTGTTAGCTTGAATTGTGTTTATATTTATGTTTTTCTTCTGCGTTTCCGACCTTGAAGAAGTTGTGGATACTGTAGGCATTCTTTCCTAGATTTTTAATGAGCTGTACAAATGAAGAGTATTTTTTTACTATTTAGAAGGTTTCCTAAAGGCTCAAGGACACTTTCAAAGACCAAGAAAATATTGGCCAAACTAAAATAAAAAAACTTTGTATTAGTCTTTAGAAAATCAATGCAAACTTAAATCTAAAAATCATTTATACTCCAGACTTTACTCAGCTGAGTGTCAAGGTTCAAGCATTGGAGAGAAGTGGTCAGGACTTGGATTTAATGAGGTGTTAGATGCCTTGAGGCCATTTATGATCAAAGCTGAGAAGTTTAGGGTAGATAAGCACATACACTGATCATTTCACTAGAATTCTAATTATCCTTGAAAATCTGATGGTCAATATGGGAACAGGTGGTGAGCAGTTATTACTTACTGGAAGTTCAGTTCTAGCCTATTGCAAGCACTCTGAACATCCTTTTGTTTCTGGGACAGTCAGAAGTCACCGTCAGGGAAAGGTTTTAGAGTCACCTGACTGACAAAACACTGAATTTTCATTTTAATGCTACATATCTCCAAATACTACAGCAAATTAAAGTGAATGAGGTATTGTTTTGATTCATATTGTTTTCCAGGCTTTGCAGCTTTAGGTATCTTCATTGTCACAAGTACCAGCTGATTGTCTCTGCCTATCTAAGAAGGACTTTTGGGAGCAGTGTAGCTACTATAGCAGGAAATGCTTCTTCCAGTAAATATTTGTGGGATCAAATCCCTGGACAGCAGTGGTTGAAAGGCCTGGGGTGAATTTCATGCTGGGGAAAAAAACAACTGTGAGAAATAACAGCTGGCTTCTTTAGATGTTCCTCTCTAATATTATCTGTTATTAATAAGATGATAAAAGTAGCTAACACTGCAAATACTAAGTGAAGCTCAAAGATTTCTGATACTTGCCATGAAACTTCAGTAACACTTTTTCTTTCTTTCTTTTTTATTGCAGTCAGCAACTGTTTCTGATGGAGGTAAGCTGAAACTTGTCTTTACTTTTATAATGAAAAATAATCAATTTTCCACATTAAACAACATAATATGTGGTAAATTATGTGATATGTTACAAGATGTAAGTCCAAGGTGGTGCAGAACTCTGTGGCTGCTTTGGGAACTGTGCCAGTGAAAATATTGCAGGCATGTGTTCACGTACTTTCACTGATTTATTTGCATAATATTTTTTTATGTTACATTTCTATATGCACGTTTTTATTATAACTATGCTTCTTCATACATAATTACAGAGGCAGAGCTGGTAGACCTATGTGTAACTGGATGGTAGATAAAATCTCATTCTCTCTTTTATTGTCCTTTACATACCTCGTTTGCTTTTAAAGAGATGCTCTAGCTTCTCAGTTGTAAACTGAATTGGTGCTTTTGTTGAGGTCCAGCTCTCTTAAATGTGATCCTTTTTGAGGAGGGGGTGAGTAATTTGTCATTTGTAAAATCCCAGCATGGAGCTTTTGCACTTCTGGAGTACTTCTGAGTAAACTCCTTTTATTGCATATAAGCTGGTTTGTTTTGATTTTAACATGTCTTTAATGTTTTAAAGGATGTCCACTCTTTGTTAAACATTAGAAGATGATTTCTTTGAAGCTTTGAAATTTATTGAAACAATTTAAAAAGGCTTCCTTGATGGAATAAAGGAATTTTTATAGTGTAAGGTATAGGGGAGGTGGCTTTTCTCCTTGTCTTCTCTGGCAGGAGAAGGTTCACTTGATCCTGCAGAGAAACTCAGTGTATTTTTGCATCTGTTGTTCTTTGACAAGATTTCAAGACAAATTTATTAAATAGAAAGGGCAAAAGGGAACAAGCTGTGTTGCAGTAATTGTGTTGTGCTCTGTTGTTGTAATCAGTGCAGTGAAATTGGAAAAAATATTTGAAATGGTAAGGATAATTTTTTGTATTACATTCAAATATAAATGAAAATTAGCAATACTATTTACAAAACTTCTTCACGTCCTAATTTCTGATTGCTTGCAAGACTAAAACTGCACTTAAGAAAAATATTACTGTTTTGGTCCTTTTGATGGAACCATTTTCCAGTGGCTGACTTTGTCAGGTATTTTCCTTCTCTACTGCTGACACAGCCTAAAGCTTTACTGTACCTCTGTCTGGATGAGAAGGGAGAGTCTGTGTTGTATCTGTCTTGTCTGCAAAGTGACAAAACAACAAACCAGAAAATAATAGTGTTTATTCTGCTTTCTATTTCTAAAATGTAGACTCTGTTCTTCTGGGAAAAAGATGCATTTTTTTTTTCCCCAACATGTTACCTGTTGGATATAAAAATCAAAGCAGACCACAGATTTTCTGACAGTGTATGTAGTTGTTGAGGACCAAAGATTTTATTAATCTTTTTGTAGGTAAAATGCAATGTCTCTTGTCTTCATGAGAGTTCTGGTTCTATGTTAATGAAAGTTATTTTGTTGCTTATCCAGACTTGGAAATCCCTATGATAGTACTTGCACAATAATAATTTCAAGATTCTTATCCTTCCAGATGAAAATTTATTTTACAAATTCCACTTATTTTCAGGTCTTCCAATATGACTTGTGTATTATTCCAAATCTGTAGGTAATTGTTTCCACAATTAATTCTATGCAGTTTTTTGAACTCATGAAATCTAAGGGTCATGTAAGGTTACAGAGGTGAAAGAACAGCCAAGAAGTTATGTGCAATTTTCTGCTGGGTTGTATTCCCTATTTTTTTAGCTGGTTCATAATTTAATATGAACTCTCTCTTCATTGTTAAATGCTACTTAAGAAGGGGTATAATTTGTGTAAAAAGTGGTAGTTGAACTATATTGAGTAATATTGAAGCAATGCATAAATACCCAGATAGTGGGTTGGAAAAATAGGAGCCAGAGAGACTGTAATCAGAAAAAGTGAAATTAAATTGTTAATTCATTTCAAGCTGCATTGATTAAAAAGTTCTGATTCATGTGTGAATTACATTTTCTAGCATTTACTTGCATTGAGTATGGCACAACACTGAATTTTTTTCAGTTTTCCTTAATCTCACTACTATGCAAATAGTAGACTTAGACATTTTAGGATATGTCTAGTTCAGAGAAATTTTCACCAGTTGTAACCATTAGTACAGTGCTGCATACTTCCCTTCCTAGACTAAATCTTTGTCATCACAGAATGATTTGGGTTGGAAGGGACTGTAAAGGTCAACTCATTCCAACCCCCCTGCCATCCAACCTGGCCTTGACATTTCCAGGGATGGGACATCTACAGTTTCTCTGGGCAACCTGTTCCAGTGTTATCATTGCTGTCAGAGTGAAAAATTTCTTATATCCAATCTAAATCTCCTTCCGTTTATAGCCATTACTCTTTGTCTGCTCTTGTCAGAAGTCCCTCTCCAGCTCTCTTGTAGCCCTCTTTAGGTACTGGAAGGTGCTCTAAGGTCTCTCCAGGACCTTCTCTTCTGCTTGGTATTATTAATATTAGTATTTGTACATATTACTAAATACTATAAATAGTGTTGTTAAGCTTTAGTTTGAGAAGAAAATTCATGTGTAAAAAGCAATTCTGTGTTTATATGCTTCTCTTCAGTATGGTGAGAGGCACACCAGTTCTTTGTACATTTTCTTTCCAAAGTCAATGAAGCTTTTATTATGTTAGAGCCCAGCCCTGGAAACCATCTACCCCGTGTTTATTTGATATTTTACATACCAGCTTATGCAAGGCTGGGATGCTCTTATCAGCCAAAACTCTGAACTTGGGCATTGCAAGATAGCTGACGTGTAAATTAGTGTTGTTTCCAGACATGCTGACCAGTGGTAGCTCTTAACTGTAATTGATTTGTGTAATGAATTGCAGACAATCAGAATGCAAACTGTAATAATGCTTAGATGTCAGATTAGTGCTGTAGATCAACTAATCTGCAGCACCTCAGCTCTAGGAGTGGCAGGAACCATTTTATGTTACTACAGTGACCTGTAATTAGCAGGTTTCCCTTCCTTCCCACCTCACAAAGTGTCCTTTGCTGCTGACTGTGGGAGCAGTGGGAGTGTGTACACAGCATGAGGCTGTGCCTGATGTTCTGAGCACTGTGCCATCTGAATTGTCACAGGAATGATCAATAGTCCCCAGCTAATGCCTGACTTGGCTATTTATACCTGGAAGGCACTTTGGAAAAGGAAAACCTTAAGGTCAGAGGATCTCTAACAGAAGTACCATCATCATTCATCTCCCAGACAGAGGTGGTGAGGTGTCTGAGCTAGTGAGAATGTCTGAGTCAGTTCTCACCTGCTATTCCCTGCAGAGATCAGTTCCACAAAACTCAAGTCTGTTATTTCCAAATACTTCAGCCTAACAGATACTATATGTACATATCTTTTCCTAAGATACTACTTTGCTGTGTTTCTGCTGATCTTTTGCTTTTAGTGTTCATCACTTGGAAAGAGTTTTCGTAAGGAAAAGTGTTCCTAAAGACCTTTCTGAAAGGAATCTGATGTTTGCAGTAATAAATAATGTAAAACTGTATTTTTAAAGGTAACTGAAGAAGGTGAGGCAAAAAATTTGCAATTAAATGCAAAATAAAGCAGAACACTTTATGCTTTTATACACTATAAATACAGATGGATTATTTCCTCTAACAGGTATATGACTTATTTGTCAGTTCTGCTGGTGGTGCGTGCTCACTGTAGCTGTGTTCCAGTGTAGCATAAATAATTCAGGTTCCTTTAGCAGCAGTGGCAAAAGGTCTTTTCCTTAAATTATTTATGTAGCATTTTATAATGCTTTGTGTTAAGTATACTATTGCTTCCCTCTGCTTGAAGCCACGAGGGTAAGGAATCAATTTGTTTAGAATGGTGTTAGAGGCTCCCAGGAATTGCTGTGGGGAAATGCATTAGCCTCCCTCATCCCAAAATTGCAGAGGAGCAATGTGCTGTACAGTCAGACTAATCTGCACCCAATGGGTTCCGGGACGTTTCAGCTGAACTTGGTATGGATTCAGAAGGATGGCTTTCAGTGAAGGGCTTGAAGTATTTGATTAAGTGGCACCACAGTGGTTCTTACCAGCTTTATCCAGGTAATGTATTTAGTGATTAACTAGAATATCTTAATTATATGATTTGTATGCGTTCCTGTGATTACGAGGAATGTGCTTAGCTTCTCACAACAGTAAAAAGTATTTGTAGGCTGAAAAATGTATACATAATACATACAAATGCATACAAAATAGCCTTCATTTATTGTATTCAGGCTTATGGCTTTTTACTATCTAAACCAAACTTCTGAAGCCATCGTATCCTGAATACTTTCAAGACTTAGTTGATTAAATGCCTATATTTTCTTACATAATGTTGTTTTTGTAAAATAGATAAAACCAAGACCCTCCATAAAATGTGTAAACGCAAAAAGTGCAAAAATTGGGTTTTGAGGATTTTTTAGATAGTATTCTTTGTCAGTTCTATGTTTCCAAAAGATAATAAATGAAACTGAATGAGTTTGCGCTCAAAGTAGTTTTTCCTCAGTAGGTATGGTTGCTATCAAGCAGAACAAAAATAAAGTTAGGTCCCTGGGATTTGAAATGTTTGATCAAGGAGCCTCCTTTTACAGGTAATACAAGATAAGCCGGTGCTTCCACCAGTGATGACAAAGGAAGGCAGGCATTTGGAAACTTCCCAGCCCTGCTGTAGTCCATGCAGAGCTGGGATTTTTCACATTAAACTCCTCTGGCATCCTGAGATTCCCAATTGCTCCTTTTCTATTTTAAAATACTCTACAAGGAGGAGGAGTCCACTTTGCACAAACAGCCCTGTGGTGAGAGCATTTGAGGGTGGGAGTCAGGGCTCTGTGTTTCATCTGCTGATCATCACAGAGGGCTCCTTAGATGAAATGTGTGACCAGGTTGGAAAGTTTCTCCATTCCTGCTTTCCAAGGTGGGCTCTGTGTACCTAGGAATGCCTGAGCTGGGAGAGTCAGGAAACCTGATGCTGGAGTCTTACATTGGAAACATTCCTCTGCAGAAGGGAGAGGAGCGGGAGTTATGCCTTATACAGTCTTATTTAAGTGTGATTTGGATAAATTGGGTACTAATGTTAGAGTCGGGGAGCTGTTTTTCCTTCCATCTGACTTCCTTTTTCTCCAGTTCTAAATGGTATACCTGCACTAGGCTGTAACTGTTTTAATTGCAACTGATAATCTGGGTGACAAAAGGAACTAGAATAACCAAGCCTTTTCTGGCAAACAACCTTTTCTGTATTGTTTTCAGTTTGACAGGTACCACAGCAGAAAGCTCTCCAGATTTTAAAAGCAAACCAACTGCCCTTCTTCATTAAGGGAAACCAAAGCTGTGCCAGGGTTAAGTATAAATTAAAGTTCTTTTTGAAAAAAAAGTCTGGATTACCTAAATTTAATCTACCAGAACAGAGCCAGTTTACTGGGAATGAGTAATCCCTTAATGCTGTGTTAACACATTGGAGGACCTGTGCCAGTAGCTCTTTGGCTGTTGGAAATAGAGTCTTATTTTGGTTCATTTGTTTTCCTGGGATCTCCAGAGTCGGGAGGGAGAACCCAGTGCAGTTTAGAGGAGTGTAACTCTGAGGAGCTGGAGAGAGCAGGCAGCTGCTGGCAATTAAAGGTAGTTAGCAGTTACCCACTGGTGTAAACACTGGAGGCTGTAATTGCAGTTCGGTTTCCCTGCTGCCATGGGGAAATTGAACGCCTGCCGCTGGGAGGGAGGTGATGCTGATTGCTGTGCCTGCCACTTCCCCATCCCTTCTGAGTCCTAAGGCACTGTCACTCCAGGATCCAGAGCTGAGCACTTGGTGTGGCTGCTCCCTAATTTCTCTCTGCCAGCCAAGTAAGTTTCAGGGGTTTGGTATGTGGGATGAGTTTGCCTTTCTGACTTTGCCTGAAAGCAACAAGGAAATTTTCATCATTCATCACTGAAGAGCACTGGGGATTGAGCCCTCCAGGAGTGAGAAAGTATCTGAAACTGTTCCAGATCTATCAAGAAGTGGGTGTCTATTTATATCCTGGACTGGAAAATAGAACATATCCACCTGCAGAGTAAAAGCAAAATATTTCCGATAATAAATATAGATACCATTCTCTTCAAATTCACATTAACTTCTTTCACAATAGTTTCATGGTGGTGACAGGTCTTCTCTAATGAAGTTAACAGTTGACTTGGTTAAGTGAATAAATATTTGTATAAGAAAATTTAGCATTATTTGCTGAGTGTTTGTAATTAGCTTTGATTAATATGGTGATTAGGTGAAGAAAATTTATATGCCTGATTTGTTACTAGTGTCTTTAAATATGATCATTGTTGAAAATACAAAGTTATGTTTTAGTCTTCCCTTGTCTAATTCTGTATCTTTGTCTTACTTGTTTTATTTTTGTCTTAAAAAAAATCTTTGCTTACAGAAACTCAGAGTAGCTAACTGTTACATCTTAGTGAATATTTCTGAGCTAAGAACATGTTTAAAAATGAAGTTTTAGAACTCTCAATTTTTTTTCTTATCTTTACAGCTATCTTTTAACTTTTTCGAATGCTTGTAACTGTTTTTGAGTGGTGCATTTTTCAAAGCTCTTACTTCCAGGGAGGAACAGTAATGTTTTGTAACAAGAAGTTTGGAAATGGAAAAGTTCTTTCAAATACTTCTAACATGAAAGGAGACCTTGGGAGATTGTATAAAGTAGGGTCTTTTTGGTGAAATTACTCATTGCTGTAGTTAGTCTAAGTGATTAACTGAGGAAAATCATAAAAATGTCCCTGTGAAGCACAGTCCATTTCTGACTGGTTGTGAATTCAGTTTTCTCAGACAAATTCCATCTCTAGTGAGCTGCATACTTGCTTTTCCATTTGGCATAAAATTGCTGAATATACCATCTATTTAATTTGAGGGTATTCTCACATCTGTTACTGCAAATTTTTCAAATAATTGAATGTCTGTGGTTTTTTCATGCCTTCATCGAAGTTTCAGTTTGGCATCTCTTTATGTGCACCCTGTCCTGCTCAAAGCAGGAACATCAGACCAGCTCAGGCTTTAGTTGTGTCTCCACAATGAATGAAACCTTACATCCCCTCTGTGAAGTGTGCAGCTGTGAGTTCAGCATTACAAGTTTTATGTTTGTGTACACCAGGAGGCGGAGGGATCATCCTGTAAAAGGGTGTGCAAGGAGTAAATGACAAATCTGTGAATAGAGCCCTGTTATAAACAGTTCCCTCTCTTGCTTTGAGCAGCCATTTCTTTCCCCCTTCTACTTCTGTCAACAAATGGTCACTTTGACGTTTTTGATGTGCCTATTTTGTTTACTGAAATGACAAAGATGACCTGGGATTAATGCTTGAAATTGTTAGGCTGCTACACAAGGGATTTTTTTGTGTTTCCCTGAATTCTCCATGGGTTCCTGTTAATTTGTTTCTCAGAATAAAAAAATCACTTCTGTTTTTTCAAGAACTAAAGAATCTGGTAATTTCTCATCTCGTGGTCTCTAGATTATTCCAGCATGTTGGCTGGAGTCTGCAAGGGATTCTATTTTTATCAGAAACTGTAATAAACTTATCATCTATGGTTTGATGTCTCTTACTTCCTGTGGATGTGGAAGGCATCCCTTACTAGCTGATGTTCCCAATGTTCTTTTCCACAATTGACTCCTCTCCTAAATTTTCAGTATGAATGGGAATCTTGTATTTCCATGTAAAATTTCACAGGTTGCCTGTCTACCAATTCAAGTGTATATGAAATTTTGTTGTTTGCTATCACCTAATAGGTTTTTGCCCACATTCTGGTGATTCTGGGTTCTTGAAGGTCAACTTTCCTTGGATAAACTTATGAAGGAGTGCAGTCCATAGCATGAGAAATATAAAGAGAAAATGTATTTTATTTTGTGCAACAAGAAAAAAGATCTTGTTTTCGGCCTGCCCCTTTGGCTTCTGTCAGGGGACTGCTGTTAAGACACTCATTTAATTTTCTTTACAGTGGAACACAAGAAACTTGAGAGGTGTTTGGGGTGTTTTTTTTCTATGCAGGTGCTCTTAATAAAAATGGAGAGGGATATTTAGAAGTCTGTTCCACTGTGAGCTCGAGCAGGAGGTATGATAAATAAACAATACTAAAGAGAAAAGTGAGTAGCATTTTATTGACAGATGTAATTTCCTTTATTAACAGAGCTGAATAGCACTGAATTGAAGGACTGCATCAGTGAAAACAGCCTCAGCAGCAATGCCAGCCTCCCCAGCGTGCAGAGCTGCCGGCGCCTGCGAGAGAGGAGAGTTGCCAGCTGGGCTGTTTCCTTTGAGCGTCTTCTTCAGGATTCTGTTGGTGTTAAATATTTTTCGGTGAGTTTTGAGGGACAATAAGAGGCTTTCCAAAATACCTGATACCGCTGCAGTAATTTTCCTGTATTTTTTTTTTCTTGACACTCTCCTTGTGCAGGACAAGAGATGGGAGTTCATTCGTGCTCTGTTGTTATCTGAACTTCTTTCTGAGTTTGCACAGGTTCACAGTTGAGTTCAAGAGTTCAGGGTAATATTCAGATTGCCATGCAGTTCTGCATAGCAGAAGTTTCAGGTGAAAATGGAGGCTATATTTGGCTTTGTCTGGGAGCTTCTAGAATGCTTCTCCATTTTGTAAAATGCTTTTTTTTTTTTCATCTGTAGCCTTTGTACAAGAAGAAGTAAGTACTTTTGGTAACTTCCTAAGAATGGGTTGCTATTCACATCTGTGTCCTGAAATGTTGGGTTGGAAGCCACATATAAGATTTTTTCAAAGATAGAGTGGCTTATTTTCCTGCAAAAGGTTTTTAGAAATACTTTTTGGAAGTAGTTGTGGTAGATAAGAGCACTGATTAAAACTGCAACTTGAAGGAGTAATGCTGAGTATTTGCAATGCATAAATACTTTGCAATACAGAAATACTGTTCTGCACAGCACATTTATGAAGTTGTAAATAGCATCATCTCTACTTTGCATGCAAGGAAACTGAAGGTATATACTTTTGCTTTATTGCACTGAGCGTGTGTTGCTGATTCTGAATGTGTACACAGGGACAGTTTGTGCTGCCCAAGTCATTTTCACAATGAGAATATAAGGAAATTTGTGGTATAGGAGAGGTAGATTATTGGAATCTGCAGTAACTCAGACACTTTTGCTTGTTACAAAAGTATTAAGAGATCACAATGATTAATAAACAGACTTGCATGTTAACTGGTGGGGGGACCCAAAACCCTCATTAACAGTGAACGTCTGTTTGTGGAAACAGAGAAGAAGAAAGAAAAATGATAAATCCTGGATATTATGATCCTTGTTTTAGCAGAGTAGTCTGAGAGTTAACAGCATTTCCACTTTCATACTGAGACTTCTTGTCAAGCTGGAAGAAAAATTACAATTCTGATCTGATGTTAGAATCCATCTAAAAAATGATTTAGTTCATGGGGCTGCAACTGAAAGTTCAGTTGACTTAGTTCTAATTACTTGTAAACCTCCAGTAAACTTGTGTACACTTAGGAAACTTCGGCATTAAATTTTGAGCTGCTATGATGCTTCAAAGCTTACATTATAAACATAAAAAATAGCTCATATAATTTTAATTAATTTTCAGATTAAAAGGTTAAAGGTACACTTCATTTCAGCAAAAGCCATTCTGGAAGTTTTACTTTTCCCCTCCATTTTACTCTAATTAGAACTACTTTTTTAAACTCTGTAAAAGTGCCTATCTTAAAGAAATACTCACTTAAAAAACCCATTAGGGAATGTTAAAGTTTGTTGTGTGCACCACTATTTTCTTGAGATCCAGGAGATGTCCAGAGCCATTGCTTAGATTTATTAACCTTGTTGCCATAACACTGTGCAGTTCCAAATTGCTGCCAGTATCCAGGAACATCGAGGCACCAGAATTTAATTCTTGGTTCCATAGCAAGTGTCTTGGTGCATTTGGAATCCAGCATCTGCCTTTTCCTGAGGACAGCTTTGTCACAGAGCAGGAATTACTCTCTTAAGAAGGAGAGGTTTTGCATGTTTTGCAAATACTCACACTTTGCATAATAGCTGCTGCTTAGAGCAGTGAGGCAGGAGGTGAGAGCTGTTTGCAGGTTCCCCTCTCCAGGGGTTCAGACCAGCCTCTGCAGCTTCCCAGCCATGGGTGACAAGTGCCTGGTGCTCCAGCTGGGGCACCACTCGGCCCTCCTGGTGACAGCCAGCTGTGCCCAAATCCTGTGGCCACAAGGAAGCAAGTGGGAGATGGACTCTGAGTGCACAGGGAATTTGCCAAGGGGAAAGTAGGCAGTTGTGTTCCAGTTCTTGCTCACTAATTTGATTCTCTTTTAATATGTAATTACATGTAAAGTGGCAAAATGTTCCCCTGACTGCTCTCTGGATTGTCTTTTATGTATTTGGTGTCTCTTATGTATCTGAAGAACTTTAAATCCAGAGTTTGCTTGGGCATTTAGATTCCCTGTATTGTAGTTTATCTCAATTGGTTTCTTACAGCTGGACTCCCTAAACTCTATGTAAATCTGAAAAGCACAAATACACTTGAGTTTATTTCTGTGCAGATTCTTCTTAAACAGCTTTCTGAGGCTGCTTTGTATGATAAGGAAGCTTCACTGGGACCCATGTGACGATTGAGTGAAGGTTGTGGTGGATCAAGTTTTTTTTTTTTAATATCTTTATTTTTCCTCTGATGGTTAAAATGCTTTTAAGATGCTGAGAGAATATTGAATTATATACATATTTGAGTATGGGACAGTTTGTTCTTGTAGAATTTTCCAACTGAATGAGTGCCAGTGTTCATTTGGACTTTAGGGTGCTGTAATATAAATGTCCTGATTATTGTATGTTGTACTGGGAGCTATTTTTTTTCCTCTCAGTGAGTATTTTCCAAAGAGAAACCATGTAACCACATCAAACGCTGTGAAAAGTGATAAAAGATCTTTCTTTTATAGTTGCCATGTGATACAAAAAGACCCTGTAATGAATCCAGAATTGATTATGGCACTTCTTGATAAACATCTACTCTGTTATATCAGTAGAACTGCAATTAAAGACAGTTTACAGTGTCACTTTTAAATCTAGTTTATAAACTATTTAAATTTTTATTAAAAGTTTATTCACCAGTTTATGTACTGCTTAGCATGACATTTCAAACTTTGTACTTGCAAATGATTTGATTGTAACTTGATGTATTCTTCTCAGTTATATACATTTAAAAAGACACGAGAAAGAGGGGGAGCACCAGGTATGTATTGGACATACATTGATTTTTACTTTAGAGGAAAACTGGATTGTGAGACTGAAAACTTACCTTTATGCAAACTTTGAAAGCATTATAAATATGTTGTTTAAACTGGCAAGTAACTTTTCTTTGAGACATTTATTTATGTGCTTATTTTTTTCCCCCAGGAATTTCTACGGAAAGAATTTAGCGAAGAAAATATTTTATTTTGGCAGGCATGTGAATATTTTAACCATGTACCTGCACATGATAAAAAAGAGGTAAGTCAATGTTGTATTTCAGTACCTTGTGTTGCTTCTTCAAAAATTATTACTCCTTCAAGATTATTGAAATTAATGGAACTGTGCTTCATCTGTGTACTGTGACATCACTAAAATAGGGTGTGATGGTCTAAATTTAAAATGTTGGATATGTTTGAACTGCAGCAAAGTGCAGAGGTAGCTCTGTAAGAATGAGCTAAGGTATCCTGGTGTTGGATATGGTCAGCAGTGGTAGCCCAGTTCATGGAAGTGCAGAGCAAGTTAATTGAACGTGCCAAGGAGAGGCTCCTACACTCTTGTAGCTCAAATGCCTCCAGCAGCCAAGACTGTGCTTCTAAATAACTTTGGATTATCTGCTGCTCAAAGGACAGGGCTCCCATGTTTGTTCACAAATTATGAGAATCTCAGTCTCGTCCTTTTGAGGGAATCCTGCATTGATCAGGCAGTTTGGGTGAATTTTGAACTTTGCACAGGTTGGCAGCACTTCTGTCTACACCACAGCCAAATCTAGTGAGATTTATGTGTTGGAAACGGTTTAATCTTCCAAGTCTCTCTCAGCTCTTTTGTCTGCTGATGAGGTTTTCTTTCTCCTACTTTCTTCTGTCTTCAAACAATGTATTTTCTGAACACCACCCTTAAGGGCTGTGGGCTCAACTTGGTGGGTTTTTCATTATTTTTGTGATGTGGGTGTTTCAAAGTAAATAAGTTAAAAATGAGTGGTTTTGACTGTAAATATTCATATATATACTTACTTTTTTCTCACTTCTAGGAATTGAATCTTAGAGGATGTATTTAAATAGTAACTGTTATGTAAAAGGTCTGAAATAATTAAAAAAATCTACTCTCCTTTTTAAAAAATACTTGCTGTGCTTCACTGTTTGATTATTTTAATCTTTATTTGGAGAACAACTTTTACTGTTTAAGGAATATTTAATGAATATTTGTAATCTTAGAAGAAAAACCTATTTTATGTGCCTAAACCTGGCAAAAGCTGATATATGAAAAATACATATATAAAAAATTCAGGAGTGGCTATCTATTTTTGGGTGGAATATATCAGTGTAAGAAATGCCTAGCTAAAAATAAGGTTTTAAAACCAACATACATTTAGCATTTTTTTTTCTGTAGCTTTCTTACAGGGCTCGGGAGATCTTCAGTAAGTTCTTATGTAGCAAAGCTACAACCCCAGTTAATATTGACAGCCAGGCACAGCTGGCAGATGATATTCTCAATTCTCCCCATCCAGGTATGTTCAAGGAACAGCAACTTCAGGTAACCATAGTAACCATGAATGCTCTATGTTTGTCTGTTATCTTTTCCTTTATAACCTATGAAAATCGTTTTAGATGCTGTATATTTTAGACTTTATTAGAAGAACAGAAAAAAGGCTGCTTGACTGTTTTTCTGTTATGTGTAGAGAAAATTGTCATTTCACAAAAAAATAATCTGAAAAGTACTATTACTGAAACAAGGTTTTAGTGCAAGTAAATAATTCCATGTGTTGCAGCACCATTTGCATAGTGTTTGCTGCTTTTTCTCTTCTTTATTGGAGAGTTGAGTACACAAATAGTGTCTAATTTTGTTTTTTTTAATGTAAATTGTATTAAAGGAGTTCTTCTCTTCTGCTTTAATATTACTGTCAGGCAAAGAGCTTTTAAAACTGTTGGAGTCTGAAGACCTCTGAAGTGGATATATTTTAAATAATTATTGATAATCAAAACAGTTATGCAACAACAGGATACACTTCACACTCCCTGTAGAATTTAAGTTTCCAGTGTTTTTTCCTAAGTCATCTCTTTGGTAACTCTTCTACTCTCCCAGTTTATTAGTAGAAGTAATTTTGATATCATCATTTTGAAATCAAGGCCACAGCTTTAATGATCCAGGTGACAATCTTAGGACACAATCTCAGACCACGTGGGCAGTCTGAGCAGCTGGTTTTAGTGTCATCTTCCTGCAAAGTGGAGATAGAAAGCTTGGTCTGACTGCTGGTCTGGGAGCTTCCAGCTTTATAGCTCCTCCTTATGCACCTCCCAAGCCTGAGCCTTCCGTGGGAATTACCCATCACCACCTTCCCAGACATTTTTCCGTGCATTTGTCATCCTGGTGCTGTGGAGACTATGCCTGAATCCCTCCTTATGCTCTCCCATTTGTTTGGTGGAGTAACAAGGTGTCCTGATGAGTCAGGTGACAGGGCTGATGCAGGTTTTGTCCCTTTGAAAACGCTGTATCCTTAGTTGGAGGGCTCAGGGTACCAGCTGCTTGATGGCCCTTAATTTCTTGTTTTCAGTGAGTGGTTCTGCAGGTCAGTTTGTGGTCTTGGTGGATGGCCCCACCTTGAGAACACACAGCTGTGGGTTGTGTAGTTACTGCAACACACCCACGGACTCTCAAAGCTCAGCTCATGGTGGTGACACAGCCTTAATAAAGTGAAAGCTCTGCATTCACAAGATTGTTTAGATTTGAGCACTGACCACAGAGCAAGGTGCTGTGGTGGTTGTTGGATGAGTGTGATGCTGGGGAATAGGGAGTTTTGCTGTAAGGCTGCAGAGGAGTTGCAGAAGTGTGTGAGAAAGTGCCTTGGAAACACTTTTAGGCCATTCTCTCTGCCTGTTGGGAATACCCAACAGGGAAGTTGCTTTCTGTCCGTGTCCTGACAAATTTTTCCATGATCTTGTTGTTAGAAGTTGTAATGGCAGTGTGGATGCAGCCAAAGTACCTAGATAGGATGTTGTTCCTTTTTGTAAATTGAGTAAGAACAAGAATTTTCAGTGTTTCTGGATGGAGGGCAGTGTTGGTCACTTGAACATACTAAACATACTAAAATAAGAATAACATTGCATGTACTTCATGTAGAGTTGATAATGGATATACATTTTTCTACTCTTGTTTATCTGAAAATTTGAAATTATGCTTTTAAAATTTATGTTTCTCATTTTTAAGAACAAGAGCTAGCATCTGCTAGCTTTTCCAAATATGCAGAAATCATTAAGCTATGTAAATAGGATAATAATGCTAAATACAGGAAATCATGGATGTAGTGTGGGCTAGAAACATAGGGCAGATGATAATCAGCTCAAGGGAAATTAGTTCCACTCTTGTGACTCTGTCCAGCAAAGTTAAAAGGTTGTAATTTTTTCGCTGTATTAAGTATGTTTAATTTGCAGACTGTCAAAGCTAGCATGTACAGAAGTATTTTTCCATAGTTTACCATGTGGAAAAGAGTACATTAAAAGGCCCAACAAAGATGACAGGCAGCACCTAAGCAGGAATGGGAATATACAGAGGGAAAAGTCAAAACCATGGAGGTTGGCATTCAGTTTGAGTTAGGTTTCTGTGACTCTGCAGGATCAAGTTCTCTCTGATCTTGGGAATGCCATAACCTGCTGGGTGGTGCATACCTTCCTTTGCCTGTGGGGAATTTGTCATGTCCAAAGAAGTAGCCATTCATACTGCTTTTTCAGATCAGCTGAATCATGGGAGAAGATACAGAGCTAAAAACATGGATTCACTTAAAACAGCAGGCTTGCAAAAATGGAACAAAAAATGTAACCATTATTTAGCATTTAAGAAAAAGCTCTTTTGCACTTTCATAAACTTAGCTTTGTTTAAATCAGCCTCAGATATTTGCTCCAGGCCTGGTATAGAGCTGCTTTCTCTCTCTATGGTTAAAGATAAATGTTGGTCATTTAATGTAAACTGTTCTCTTTCAAGATCTACAGCACCTTGATCATTGAATTGTCCAGAGATACTGATGGGTTTTTTTCTTTATAGTTGGGCACATAACTGTGGTTTACTGTTAACACTTCTCAGTTCTGGTTTAATGGCTGGACATGATGATCTTAGAGGTGTTTTCCAGCCTAAATGATTCTATGATTCTGTGAGCATTATATATGCTGTAAAGGACTTTCAGCTTCTCCTCACATCAGCAATTAACTTGGTGTATTTTGTATCATTGTGTATTATTATTGCATATTGCGATTGTATCATATTTGTGTTTTAGAACATAAACTTTTCTTGTTCATAGCCTTAAAACACCTTTGTATAACTTAATTCTGTCACATAGGGTGCTGGTGTAATAACCTTTAAAATGTTTTAAATATCCAGCTTGCTACGTGTTCCACACAGAATGGCATCAACACAGTAAAAGAGAATGGTGTTGTCAAGACTCTAGAGCATCCAGCTTGCACTTTGCAGAAATCATAACTTTTTTTTCTGAACCTGTAATAAGGGAATAGATCAAATTATGTTCCACTTTAAAATGGGTGCAGTGGATTTAGCCAGGTCTAAACAAAGGCATACCTATGCTGTTTATAGCCTGATGTCCTAAATTTTGTGGGGGTTTCCTGTTGCAAAGTAGCTTCATTTTCTTGATGTATTACTGGAATGTCTGTAACCATTATCCACTGTGGTTTAATTTCAGATATTTAACTTGATGAAGTTTGATAGTTATACTCGCTTCCTCAAATCCCCCCTTTACCAAGAATGCATCTTAGCTGAAGTGGAAGGACGGCCTCTTCCTGATCCTCAGCGTGTTCCCAGCAGCCCCACTTCTAAACACAGCGTCAGTTCAGAGAAGTCCAACATATCAACACCAAAAAAGGTGACCTTTGCATTGTTGTTATCTCAAAACCATATTTTTAAATGCTTTTCAAGTTCTTTAGAAAATCAAGGTTAGTTGTATAAATAAAACTTGAATGTGTGATTAGAGATGCAAATGCAATTGCAAAATTTTTATGTACTCAGGAATAGATTTATTTTTTTATCCTTGCCTTTGAATCAGTTTTATAGATATTGAATTTCTGAATATAATTTTAAATCTTCATTATTATTTAACTATATGTGTACAAAGAAAAAGTAAGGGTTATTTTGTTAATGCACCAGTTCAGAAGCTTATTTAGGTTGATTATGGGAATTAAGATGTCATAATTTTGTCTTTGCTGGCAGGAGACATTTTTTCAGAAGTTTTGGAGAAGGCTTAACGTAAACTAACTCATTTTTGCAGAGGGTAGTTTTTAATTTCTTAACTCCTACTAAATTAAGATAATTCTGTGTTAAATAAGTACAGTTGTTTAAAAATTAGACCACTAGTATAACTGACTGATCCCTTGACATTATTTAGGGTTTATTTTTCCTTCTTGTAGATAATACCATCATAGCATTACATAACTGTATGGATAAATTATAACTTTTCACTTTTCATGTCAATCACTACAGATTACCCCATCTGCCATTATATATCCTTATGACTAGGAACATTTAAAAAGTAGAGTTCCAAGGAATATTCTAATAATCTAACAAGAATACTAGCTTGTTAAAAGCAAGTTTAGTTTAATATCAAACATTCCTGACATTTGTATTCTTCAACTCTAATAAATACTTGATTATAATTGTAAATGTTAAACAGCACTTTGTCTTTGAAAGCTCTTCATGTTCAAGCCTAGGAAAAATACCAAGTGAAATTCAGTGTTTTGAAAGCAAAGCAAATGGCCTTTCCACATTAACTTAGGCATTACTGGTGAGCTGGGGACAGTTCTTTCTCATTTACTGGAGCTCTCTGATGGCTTGTTTCCAGCTAATGTTTTGTACCAAGTAGCACGTTTCCATCTCTGTATTTCTTTTTGTTGCCACTGGTGAGGTTTTTTTGGGTTTTTTTGATTGCTTCTGAGAGGGATGCTGGCACAGAGACTTGTGCGTGGGGTAAAGAAAGCAGCTAACCTGGCCATCACACTCTTGTTTTAGGAAGAAGTGTAGGAAGGTTTATTTTAGATAATATACTCACAACTGTGATCCAACCAGTGATTTAATTGTGTTTTGGTGATAGCTGAGTGGTAAGTCAAAGTCAGGAAGATCTTTAAATGAAGAGTCAGGAGAGGAGGACACTGAGAAGAAAAAAAGGGGGACGTTCTTCTCTTGGTCAAGAAGTAAGAGTTTGGGAAAATCACAGAAGAGAAGAGAAAATGGTGATTATCCAAACGGTGAGTATCACACACCACTTTGTTTAAAGGTTGTTTCAGCAATAGATGTGACCAATCTCCCCATGATTAGTTGCTATCTAAGTGCATCCTTGGGAGTGACAGAGGAAAAGAGCTGTCAAGTCAGAAGGTCAAAATGTGGCTAATATTGCTGCAGTTTTGTGGAAGAAGATGTACAAGTAAATAGATGAATATATGACAGTATTTAAATTTGTTCTTACTGACTTCCAGAAGATTTTTTTTCTACTTTTTGGCACATTCTTTCTGGCTTTCTGTGTGCTGGTAATTGCTTTTTCAAGCAGAGAGCTACTATTTTTATGGAAAGATAATTTCAAATCTTTACTGAAAAGTCCAGGAGCAGTACAGTAAATAGTGCTATAGTTACAGCTATTTAAAAATTCCTCCATCTGTGTTATCCTACTTTTCTTTCTTTTATCAGTAACGTACAGGTATGTTCACTCTTGAACAGTCACCATCTGTTTTCACCTTCCTTGACTAAAATGAAAAAAGGAGAGTCAGAGGTGTGAAAGCCCTTGTAACCTGCTGTTTTGTTACTTAATTGTGTTTGAGAGTTCAAGTAAGAGTTCCCTTATGAAAGCACCTGTACGTGGCCTCTAGAGGAGACAAAAGTTTTGCAGTAAATTATTTTGTTGAGTTAAAAATAATGAAGAAATTCCAGTGAAGCACAAAATTTGGTCCATATTTGACACTGTCGTTTTTGCTTCTGATAAATGCCCAGACAAGATACATTTGATCATATGGATAATTGGAATGTTCTTAGTATATTCATGTATGAAAAGTCATCAGAGGCATTTGCTGAGATCATAGACCTAACCTTCTGAAAGTGACTAGCAATTGACTTAGATTGTAGTACTCTAACACCATACTTGCACTTTTAAAAATATTTATGTCCCTTGAGAATATCTGAAGAGGTAGAATAAATTTTAAGATGAAATATTGAAATCTTGGTAAATCTAATTAACTAAATTAATATATTTTTAAAAAAGATATTATTATTTTTTCTTTTTTTTAATAGAAACAAGTGGGTTTACTCAGGGGTTACATAACCAAAAAACCACTTGACTATAAGTTGCTTTGATTTCCATGCTTCTGTACACAGTATGAAGATTTGGTGGTTTCTTTCCTTTTAAGGAAAAAAGCAAAAATTGTGACCCAACGGGCTAATATTTGATATGATTTTGTGTATTCTAATAAATAATAAAACAAGCCTCTTTACTGATTGCTGTTTCTTTGCACAAACAGATTCTTTTCAGTCCAATGGATTGTCATACAGACGGGAATCACAAGGCTCCATGTCATCCACTGCTAGTCTCGACTTGGTAATGAACCACTGGGGGAGCAGATAAAACAGTGAATTACTGATTTGCTAAGTCGTGTGATGTAGCTTATTTGATGTAATGGCTTGGGAAAGGGTTTTAAAGTGATACAGCTGGAGCACAAGATGTAATATCAGGCAATTTTGGAGTGTAAGAAATGCAATAGAGGTTGTATTGATATATTACTTCTTATTCTGTCCTTGGATATGCTTTGCATCTTCTCTGTCTTAACATCAGGCACCAGTGAACTATCAGAATAAAGTTTCCTTTTTAAAGTCTGTAGCTCTTTAAAAACAGTTTGTTCTACGTGCAAGAGAGAACCTCTTTTGAACAATCACAAGTTAAAGCTTTCCCTTTTTTTGGCCTGGGCAATTAGGGGGATGCAAGTTGCATTAGGTTAACTTTTGTTATGCCAGTGTCTGTTGTGCTTCTTCTCTGTCTGTTTATTTTAAAGTTGTGTGTTCTTGTCATTATGACTTAACTTGGTCCTAAAAACCTGAGAAGTTTGTTGCAAACTAAGAAATTTGCAAGTGAAGACACTGTGATTTCTAACCATCAAGTTCTATCTTCACAATGCAAAAGTAATGAGGTGCAAAATTAAAACTATTAATAAAACATAGATGTCATACTTAATTTTATCTATGTTGATATGGAGAAAGAATCTAAAAAAAAAGGAAATTTTAAAGTTTTTTTGTGCTTTTGATATCCCTCTAATAGACTAAATTCTGTGTAGTTAATCATTAACTAGTAACTGTGCAATTTTATCTATGCTAAAAATATTGATCAGGGAAACAAGCATGGTGAAGTCATGTTTATTTCTGTTGCAGAAAAGTCTTATCTGAAAAAATAGAAACCACAAAGCCTCCCTAAAGCAACAACCCCTCATTTCTCTCCCACTCCCACCTGTTTTTAGACAGGTTACTGTGATTTGAATGAGAAGCACCAAGTTAATGAAAAGAGAAAAAGCATGATGAGTACCCTAAAAGGCTGTCAAAACCAGTATTTTTTTAGTGTCCTTTTAAGTTATAAGTGAGCTTTTTGTTAAATTTTCAAAGGTATTTTTGATATTTAGTAGTAGTGTTACTATTCTACTGTTACTCTAGCATAAAGGTTAGTGCCTAGCCCATAACATTGTAGTTCTAATTCCCTTTAATAAAAATAATTAATGGTCATGAAGCAAATAATTTTAAAATTTTAATTTCTCTGTGGTGTATTTGTGCATAGAATTCATGTTATGTTGAAAGAAGAGGAAATTTTGAGAGGAAAGATTGAGGAACCTGGTATTTAAAGGCATTCCTCTTCACTTAAATGTTGGGTCATAGGGTGCCAATGGTAATTTTTATGTCAGCAGGACATATAGCACAGACATTTAACTATTTGGATGCTTAATATGATTTTATTTACTTTTATACTTTAAACTTAGGGGTTCTTTAGTAAATCTTGTAACTGTTTTACACACTCGCTGTGTAAAACTTCATCTGTTCTTGAAATAAATTTAGATTTGTGCAGTATTGTGATCTTTATCTAATTTTTTTCCCCCTAGAATTTAAATTTATCTGATATTTGTGGTATTTGGGAGAATTTCTAAAGCATGGTAGAAAGTATGGCTCTTGGCTTGATCTATGCAGACTCTAAAAGTTTATACCCAATCCTAATTTTCCCATTGGCCACTGACCTTTCTTTTTTCCTTTCAAGTCTGAAACCTCAAGATTGCCTGCATTTGTACCAGATAAAGACAAGTCCCCCAAGTACTGCTGTGTAAACCTTCCAGATGGTTCATCGAGCAAGATGGCTGTGAAATCAGGGTTCTCCATCAAAGAGGTGCTCTCTGGGGTCTGTGAGAAACATGGCATCAACATAGCTGCAGTGGACCTGTTTCTAGTTGGAGGTGATAAGGTACTGCATATTCCTGGGCTTTTTTGGAAGCATTTTTGTCTCCATTTTACGAATAAGGAATTCTGTTCTCTCCATACTGACACGTATCTCCTGGTTCCGCCCATAGCTTTACATTGGCAGTGCTGGTTAACTGAAGGAAAATTGAATTATCCACAAAGAAAATAAATGTCTGGCAGTAGATGCCACTGCATAAAAGCCCAAAAACATAGTGACATTCAGTTGTTCAAAGATGAATGAGATGCATTAATGCTAGAAATGAGGTACAGGTTTTAATATTGAGGAAAATTTCCAAGACAGCGATCTATGTGGATGGTGCAGTGTGTGTGTGTGAGATGGCTCTTTGTCCAACAGAATATCTCCAATTCAAAGAGAAGTTGGACATGGAGTATTTATTCATGCTTAAATTCATGCTTTTGATCTGTCTAGATAATTATGATGACAAAAATCAATGAATGTTCATAGTTATGGGCTTTTTCTTTTAAGGATTTTAAAGACTGTTAGCTGGCAGTATTTTCTAATGCATTCTATGTAATTTATGTAAGTTGAAGAGTCTAGGTTTGTTTTAAAATACCAAGTTCCTGAATACCTGCTGACGCCAGTGGAAATGGAATTTTGGTCATTGTTTCACACCTAGCCAAAACAAAACATGCTTCAGCCATTTTCTGTATTGTAAAGGAACAGTCACTAGAACGTGTGCAACCTACATTAATAATATTCTGAGTTACCTTAAAAAAATTAACAACACAGCTGCTCTTTCTTACATAGTTTAAAATGAATTTTTGTCTCTTCTTTTACCCCTGGCGTGCTCTGTAGCCCCTGGTATTGCACCAGGACAGCAGCATCCTGGAGTCTCGGGACCTGCGCTTAGAAAAACGCACTTTATTTCGGTAAGGGGCAAAAATAATGTCCTGCTCTGGCCTTTTCCACCCCATTTTCCATTTTACCTTTTGTAAGTGCAGTAAAGGATACATTGCCAGTTACCTGTGCAGTGAAACAGGGGCTGTGCAGCTGGAGGAGGGGCCTTTCTGGATTGCTCTTAGGACGCAAGTGGGATTTTGATGCCAGTGTTCCAGTTTAGGGACATTTAAATATTATTATGATGTCAAAATGCTCAAGCTGAGACAGCTGTGAAAGCATTAGACAGATCTATGGGACTGACTTTCCATTTCAGAAAGAGACATATTTAGTAGGTTAGAGTAGCACAAGAAAGATATGGAAATTGACCTGTGAGTCTCTTAGTCTTAAAATTAAATGGAAATATTTATTGAGGGCATATTCCCATCCAGTTATATCTATAATTATATGCCCACCTGGAAAATTATAGTAAGACTAATTGTATAAATAAAATTCATCTGCTGAACCCTGAATCTTAAACAAGTAGATACTAAATTATTAGTATGGCTATAATATAAGGCAGTACATGATATATGTAGTTTTATGTAATATATTTGATAGCGTGTGTTCATTTCAAAATAACATTTGTATTTTTTTCCAAAATGAATCCGGACTAATCCTTGTCTGGATTCACTACTGAAATAATTATTTCAGGAAAAAGTATTGAAGTAAAATGTATTACATTACTGACCTGGACTTTTGAAGTGAATGAAGATTATTTTGTCAGGCATTCCTTATTTTGGCTTTATGTTACTTTTCCTTAGGAAGTTGGGCTAGTTTCTATTTTAAGGTACATCAGGTTAATAAATACTGAATAGCATATTTAATTTTGAAATTCAGATTGAGCAGTCTTTTATTAGGTGTGAGCTTGTTGAGTCTCCAAGTTAAAAAGGAACTTCAAGTAGGCAGTACCATATGTTATTTGTGTGTTAATTAAAATGTAGAAATGTTCTACATTATTCCCTTCTCTGGGTAGATGCTATGTAAGCAAATATAGTCAAATATTTGGAAAATTTTCAGACAAAGGAGAAATACTATGTGACTATATTTAGTTACCTCAATGTTTGCCAGTTCTGTATCAATTACCAGCTAATGATTAAAATGGATCACTTCAATTTAGTAACTGTTGAATTCAAGGAAAATATGAAAGACAAAGTTTCAGTTATTCTGGCTTCCTGTGGAAAAGCCAACATGGCTGAACATGTTGTATTTAAGTAATTTTTGTGAGAGAAAACATGAGTTTTATATTTAATTGTGACTGACAAAATTACTGATAATAGTAATATCTGATGATGAAGATGATGTATATTTCTTCTTATTGTTTTGTTAGTGATAAGCTTGTCCTGGATTTCATACCATAATAGTACAATCATTACAATCAAGTGAGGCTTATGGAGGATTCAGAGCACACATGAAGAGCATTTAAAAATAAACCAAACCAAAGCTATGCACAGATCTGTGCAGGGAAATAGATGCTAATGAATTAGTTGTTTAGGTTTATTTCTTTTTTAAAAAAATTTTTGTATTTCATTATTATTTTGCTGTTTTAATAATGCAAAATTGTAAAATAGGCTCTGAAGAGAGCTGTCTTCAGCAGTAAATCCTAAGCTAATCGCTTTTTCAGTTTGGTGTATAAATTTCTCTTACACCAATATTTCACATACGGTGGCACCATCCCTAATGAAGTAGCATCATCTGGAAGTCCACTGTGTTAGTTAGTCTGCTTAAAAATTAAAATACTTGTCCAAATCCATCTCATGTAATTGCATAAGAAGTTGTGAGTCTGTCTTATGGAACTGAGAAATATTTTTCTTGCATCCAGTTCTATAGTCCAGGTACGGAGTGACTTTGGAAGGACTCCTGGACCAAACTGGTCAGGGTAATCTCCCTGTAAATATGGAAGTGCTGTGGAATGCTTTTCCTTGGTCTAAGAAAGGCTGGCTCAGGCCTTCACTCAGCTCTGCCAAGTGAAACAGTACAATTTTTATTTGTGGTAAATATAAATAATAATAAATTAAATCTAATAATAAAGAAATAAAGTCACTCCAGTTTAGCAGAGATCCATGCTACTGCAGTTCTAGCTAGTTACTAGCTGTAAATTGGTATAACTTTGACCAGATTGGTTTTTATGTATTTCTGTTCACTTTATATTTACTGGACTATTTCCCACTTAAAGTTACAATTGCTGTGTTTCAGGCTGGATCTTGTTCCTATCAATCGCTCAGTTGGTCTGAAGGCAAAACCCACCAAACCAGTGACAGAGGTCCTAAGGCCTGTTGTTGCAAAATATGGTCTAAATCTTAATGAACTTGTGGCAAGACTAGTAAGTATTCTTTGATGTAATTCAAGCAGCAATATTTTCTGTCTGGAGGAGATCATATGATAGTTCCTGGAACGATTCCTCTTCTGAGAATTAGGCATTCAAATATCTATAGCTACATTTTGAGATAAAATGCATTGTATTTATAACCATTATGTGTAATAGTAGTTACTCAAATATTTAGTCTACATCTGTTTTATATTCTCTTCAGAATAAATCCAACATCCTAAATAAGCAAGTCTGAACTTTGCCTCTTCCAGAGCTCAACTCCCATTATTAGCCAGAGAAAGTTGTTTGGATTAAAGCTTTTGTTCCATTATCCTGGGAATCATGAAAGTTGCCACAAATCCCCTTGCAGAAATTTTTTGTGAAAGCAGACTGATTCAACATCTCTACTACTGAACTCCTGGCTAGCATGCTCTCTTTTCTGTAATGCTGGAATACCTAGGAATGTAAAGTTAATTTTGTGGTATTTCTAGTATGTATGCTGTTTTAGCTGAACCAGTCCAAGTTTTTAAGAAAACTGAAAAGCCTGTTGGTATAAAGGTCAACTTCATTTAATGAAATTGTGAAATTAACAATCAATTTAGAATAAAAAATAATCTTAAATGTCCTCCAAGAAACATGATTTGCTGAACATACACGCTAGTGGGGCTAGAGTGTTTGAGCGCACTTACAAATGGGATGATACTTTTTTTCTCCATGTATTTTTTTTCCTGAAATACCATTCTTCTCACACAACAGGGTTACAGTCATTGAAATCAAGGTAGTTTTACACCACTGGAATAAACATTTTTAGAATGGTAGAAGGATATATGGAAGCTACTTTGAAGCATAAAAATGTTTTGCTTGTTTTCTTTCGAAAATGTCAGACTGCATAAATTTGTTCTGAAAACAGCTTTTTCTCTATTACATACAAACTGTGATCCGACTTTAGAGTGGTGAGCAGGAACCACTTGATCTTGGTGTCCCTATATCTAATCTGGATGGTCAACGGGTTGTTCTAGATGAAAAAGAGCCATCAAAGGGTAGAGGTAAGTTTGTATAAAAGCTTTTGTTTATGGTTCCAAGTCAGTTTTCTAAACCCTGTGGTTAGTTTTTCCTGTTGATGGAAGGTGAGGTAAATGTGGTTAAATTTAGATCTATGACATGTGACATATATTCTTTTTGGCTAAAAAGTAGTGCAGTTTCTGAAGATTGAAGATAAATTTAATCTGTGATAGCAGCACCCACTAATAATAATGAGAATAAAGTGCCAAATATCTTCTGTGCATTTGGCAATTATTCAGTAAGGAACATTCTGTGTAAGGAAAACAGATGCAGTTTGTACAGCAGCTATGTATGTTGCTATCATAATATTCTTCTTAAGCATGAGAAAGTAGCAGAGCCTACTTCTCCAGTTTTTAGTGATGATTTCTGAAAATAACACCAAAAAGGATAAAACTCATGATTACCCTAGGCAATATAATTGGAAATATAAAATCAGTTTATCAGCTAAACAGTTGACAATCTCTTGGCACAATTAACACTCTAGATTAATGTAAGCAGCCTTGAGAGTAAAGGTTTGGCTTCATTAGGAGACTTTTTTAGAGATATCAAACACTTATTTTCCAAAACTAAATTAGATACAGTAAAATTAAATAGACTTAGAGCAGAGATCATCTTTGAGGAAGAATGGGGATTATAAAGATGGAGGTATTTATTGAGGAGAATCAGATTTGTCTTTTTTCTAACCAGCAGAACCAATTGTTATTTTGAAAAAAGTTTTCAATCTAAATACTCTCACAGATAATTAGTTTAAGGATTACAAGTAAAGCCTAAACCTAATAAATCTGCCAGCAGCTGTAAAAGCCTGAATCATAGAAGATCATTCTGCAGTGGGTTTGTTCTGTGGCAAGTACCAGTGAAAGAGGGCTATGATTCTGTGTTATTATATTTGCTGTAGGCAGATTTAATTTGGTGGAGCCTTTTGGTTACTTAGAAGATGGCAAGGAAGATACAGCAGTGTCTACAAAATAATTAATGTGTGAAACACGATAGAAAAAAATCAACATGGCCTTTCAATGGTCTTTTCTGCTGATTTTCTTTTTTAAATTATAATTTTGAGACTTGCAGACTGAACTACCAAAATATTACAATTATTTGATCTAAAGCAACTGAAAATTTAGTATGTAAGTGGAACTTCAGCATCTTTTAAAAGTAATGACAGTGTGAGGAAAATCTGAAGATAGGAGGGAGATTCTGGTATGTTTTTACTGAAAAGTATCAGGGTTATCAGCTGTGCTCACTCTCTATGTTCTGAGTGCATATTAGAGCAATTTTAAAGCAAAAATCTGTTGTGTCCATCATTGTCCCTTACATCTTGCTTCTTTGGGGAATTATGAATTGGTGGTTACAGAAGGTATATTTATGTTCAATGTTTACAGAGAAACAAAGGGGAGTATTAGTAAAACAGACTGCAACTGTATCTTCTTCAAGAAGTCAAGGATCTACTGTAAGTCTTCTGCAACGATTTTTCTCCATTAGATCATCTTCTGTTTCCTTCTAGAATTCTATATCAAAGGCTGCATTCACACATGATTTTGAATCGGCCAAATTATGTAACTAGATTGAATATAGCTGTAATCTGTCTGTTATCTTTCCACTGTCAACAGCATTTTTTTTGTGAAGAACTTTATCTTCATGATGAATCAGTTAACTCTTTCACTGTGTTGTGTTTGTTGTTTTGTGTCTCATTGGCTTATCTGTGTTTGAAAATGATTGAACTGCTCTGTAGTTCAAAGGCCCTTTCTGTTATGTGAATTCTTCAGAGTAAACAATATTATATTTATTTCTAAATTTTTTTGGGAATTGCTATGGCAAATGCTCTTTGCCATAGTCAAGACTAAACAAAAACATTTGTCATGGCATTAGAGAAATATGTTTCCAAAATAATTTTCCTTATTCCTTTAGGCCATATTATGTATAAAATGATAGAGCCTGAATGTAAGTAGTACCTTAACTTTCCTTCTAATGCAGGGAGAGGGAAGAACTCTAGGAAAGTCTAATTCTATCAAAATGAAAGGCGAAAATGGAAAAAATGCTAGGGAAGTCCGGCTGTCAAAGAGAGAAGACTCTATTGCAAAGATTGGGAAAAAAAAATGTCAGAAAATAAATTTGGATGAAGCAGAGGGTATGTGAATTTTCTAGCTTACATATTAACATAAGTAGTCTTAGAAAAGTTTTGTGTCTGTGTAGGTACCATGTGTTTAATACTGTGTTGTGAAAATCATAGTCATGGCCATTATATTCTTGTTTGGTGTGTTTGAATTGTCAAGTTCTCTTAAGCACTGGTGTAGGTGCCCAGTGGGATTTTCAAAAGTGAGGGGTACCTAATTCCTGCAAAATAAAAAGGAATTAGTTACTCAACTGCAGTTGAACATCCCATTTGATACCCTTTGTAAGCTGTGTAGAAGCTTGGCTTTCTGTTCACCTCTATACAAGTGTTTGACAGGCACTGCCCAGTAGTGTAGACCCAAATGTACTCAGGTAAGAATTTTTGTAAGTTTTCTGCTGAACTCTGTAACAGCCAAGGCAGTGCAGTCTGACTGTGGAGGAGATGTGATGGGCAACAGGAAAACGTGCATTCAGCAAATGCACTGAAAAGGTGTTTAGAGGTAGAAATAAGCAAAGAGGTTATTGGTAATCTTGCATTTCCTGAGTTCTATTTTTACCTTTGTTACATGTTAATAGTTCTGGTGATATAATTAGAAAAAAATCTCATAAGATAATTTTTTTTCATATAGAAAGATGTCCATGGGCAAAAGAAAAATAAAAATGATGTAGCACTAGAAATTTTGGCATGACAGCCTGTGCCCGAGGACATGAAGTGAAGTGATTACCTGTCTGTCAGCCCTTCACGCTCCTCCCTATTTTCCCATGTAGAAACAAAAACCTCAAAGGACATATTTGACGCACAGACTAAAATTTACTGCTGAAGTTACCCCATATGCATATCCAAAACCTGGTTATGCACATTTATACAGCAAATGAATGTTTACCTGTTAATGTTCATCTGTGAATAAATGTCCACTGACTAGAACGGAAAAAAATGCTATGGCTAAAACTTCTACTGCAAAATAGATGTTTTTTAATATAAGTGTCATTACAAAATATTAGTGCATTTTAAATTATTTTCTGTTGCTTTCTCTTTTGTTAACTTGTTTTCCACATTTTAATACTTTCATTTTTTTTCCTAGGACTGAGTAAAACATTAACATAATTTGAAAACTTCAGAATTCGAGGCTTTCACATTTTATTTTGAGTTTTGTGAAATTTGTCAAAGTTTGGAAAATGCGTACCAAATGTTGTAGACTGTTTTTTAATGCAAAAACAAACAACTGTTCTATGAACTTTGAAATTTCAGAAACATTTTTGTATGACACATCTTAGAAATGTTGCATGTTTTAATATGCCTACCGCCATTTTGCAAAACTTTGGCAATAAGAAGCATTTTGAAGCTTCCATCTTGGCTACGTTCAGATTTTATGGCATTAGAAAAAGCATGTTAAAAAGTCGTTTTTACGAATACATTGCAAAGCCTGCCAAGTATGAGTAGAGAATTTAGGAATAAGGTCATGCAAGTGCAAGTGTATGACTTCATATTATGCTAAGTTAAAACTGATACTAATGTTCTATTGCTTTATTTCTTTATGGCTTTTGCTTCAAACTATTTATAAGCTGGGTTGGAACTGTTGATTTTCATTAACCTGTTGGAGATGGCCTTTTAAAGCATCTTTTAATATTCTCTAGTTAAAGTGCTTTCTTCTTGAAAAATTAGGACATGCAGAGACCCTATATTAAGAATTACATATTTTTATATGTCTATGTTTTGTACCAAAGAGTTTGTTTATTGTTGCAATGCTTCTTTTTTGAGGAGTGGTATTATTCTTGGCTTACAATTGATAAGTTTCTTGTTGCCAAGTTTTGAAACTTATTAGCACAGTGTCGATCTACATGAGTATTATTTATATATAGAAACATATTAAACCATTGGATATCATTAGGGACATGATCAGAAAATCACTTCTAATTGTGTTAAAGCCTCTTTAAAAAGCTGCCCCATTGCTTTTGGTAATGGTTCCTTGGATGGTTACTGACTATCTGTAAGCTACTGATTCATTGCAGCTCCAAGTAAAATGGGGTTACTTAAATCATCATCTGATCATACCCTGTGATGATAACATCCTGGTTTAAAACTACACCGTGAATTGAATTTAAGCCGTGATAAAATACGATTACTCTGAGAGAAACTTAATATAACGAGGAAGTTTGCAACATTCTGAATCTTTGAATGTTCAAATGGCATGCTATTTTTGAGTTAAGATGGCTAAAACCCATCCAGAATATAAAAACGTGCACCCATTGTCTGTAAGACTAGAGCCTTGTTTTGTATAAAGAATTAAAAAATCCTGCGTGTATGTACAGATTTATTAACTGCGTAAAATAGAAGATGTGTTCAAGGCTCAGTGGATTGCAGCTGTTCTAAACTGCAAAACTCTTACAATAGCAATGCTGATGGTCTTAATTATAGTGATGCTAGTGAACATTGCTGCAATTGAAAAAGTTCCTAATTAACATGGGATCTTATTTCAAGGCAGCATTGAAAGAATTGAAGATCTTCATGGAAAATAAATGTGCTGAAAATGTACGTTTTAATGGCATTGCACTTTCTGACAAAAACTTGTCAATTTTGGGTTTTTCCCCAATAGAATTTTTTGAACTCATATCCAAAGCACAAAGTAACAGAGCAGATGACCAACGTGGACTGCTAAGGAAAGAAGACCTTGTTCTTCCTGACTTTCTTCGTTTACCACCCGCTGGACCAGAACCATCCTCATCTACTCCCGCAGGTCCTAAAGGCCTCAGCAAGCGAGTTTCAAAAAGTGATGGCAGTGATGGATGTACATCACCCAGTGGAAAACAGGAGCCCGTGCAAAACTTTAATGAAAGTTCAGTAAAGAAAATGGGTTACTCAGAAAACAAACATAAACCTGCTTTGGCAGCACTCCACAGCCAGAAGACTTTCAGTGTTCCCTTTAGTCCTCCGTTGTCTCCCATTGCGCACGCGCAGGAGAGCAGTGCCGCGGTGTGGAAAAGGCAGTCGGGAGAGCTGCAGGCTGAAGGCATTCAGATGGTAGATGATGAGAATGTGGCAGACTTGACTCTTGTGGCTGAAGGAGATATCAGCAGCCCTAACAGCACTTTGCTACCACCGCCACCCCCAACGCCACCGTCAGACATCAGTAAACTCACGGAAGCCAACTATCCACCCCCAACTCCTTTTGCAGGTAATCAGGAAAAATCTGGATATCAAAGATCCAATTCAGGTATTTCTAGATTTTAATAGTCTTTCTTTTTGTGTAAAACTACTTTTCCTTGGCACTGTTAATCAGTATCTGGCACCCATTAAAACAACAAAGAAAATTCTCTCTGCACCTTAATTTTTTTTTTTAAACCAAAAAAAGAAGGAAAAATATTTTAATTGCCTTAGTCTGTTCTAACTGTAATACTTCTGGATGCCTTTAACAATATCCTTTTGTTTGGATTTGGCATGTAACCAAAAATGGCCACATGCAGACAAACCTTTCAAATACATTCACGTGCTATAATTATCTCATTCACCCTCAGAGTACAAAACAGGGTATCAGCATTTTGAGCTCCATAATACTGTTGTGTTCCAGATTTTCTGATCCGTTTCTCATAATGAGATACATGATTAGGGTTTGGAAGTTTGTTAACAAAAACCCTAATTATGTGTTGAAAATTGCAGTATTGTTGATGATTAAAATTTTAAATGGATAAGCCTCAACTTGAAATATATTTCATAAAATAAATTTGATATTTGTGACTAAGAATAAAAATGTTATTTTTTTTAACCCATACTTTGCTACACAGAGAAATAGATTGCATCTATCACACTTTCTCCCAGAATATTCACATATCAAGAAGCTTTCTATTAGATAATTTTAAAGAAAATATGTAACTTTTTTAGGATGTAAGTTTCATGGTCTAGCAATATCACAGAGCAATATTAGCCCAAGGCTGAAGTATGGAATTTCTTTATAAACATGGACTCTAATAATAATTGCTATTACCAGAAACAGGAATTTGAAGACAATGGGTGTCATGACATTGACATTTTACAGTCATTGAACTGTGCATTTTAATGTAAAATATAAGAAGAGGTATCTATGTGCTACATTTATTTTTGATGTTTCACAAACATGGTGCCATATTTGTATGATCACATTTCTTTGTGATGTGGGAATATACATTTTAATTATTTATCTTTTTACACAGAGTATTTGATACTGTTCTTTATCTGTATGGTTGATGATTTGTAAATACTTCTTTGGTTGTTGGATGCTTATAAATGGCAATGCAAATTATTTCATCCTCTTGCTATTTTAAAAGCCAATTCCTTTATTAGTAGTATCTGAGAAATGTTCTATAAGCGCTACCACTTAATTTCTGAAACTGAGTATTGGACGGACTTGTAACCAGTGCCTATGAATAACAGAACCACAAAATGTACTTCAGACATATTGATGTATATATGCATAGATTTGTGTTGGTGTCTTTCTGATAATATGTCAAGTGTACAATATAGGTATCAATTTGCATATTTTTCAGTGAGAACTGTTAAAAAAACCATTTGCACTTAAAAAAAACTTCACGAATTTACAATATTTTAATGCATGCCGTAAGTTTCTGTGTAACCACTGAGCTGTAGCTTTCCCTTTTCCCACTTTCTACTTTTTACTTTGTAGAAATCTTTGTGTAGTTTTCACATGTATTTTGTATCCTTGTTCTCTCAGGAGTAATAAATTCTAGCTCTAGTTACGCAAACTGGTTTTAAGCTTTCATTTTCTTTATTATTTTAAAATTTCTTTCAGTTCTGGATTAATTCTGATTGAAATTATCTTCTTATAACAAACAGATTAATAGATATGAACTAGCAATTACCATGAAACAAAGCTGACAAACATTAGATTTTTAAAATAATTTAGACATCAAAGGTCAAATGCTGTCTTTAAATGCTGATGGGTCACATGTGAAATCCATAGCATTGGCATGTGCTCCAGAAGCCACATAAGACAGGAGATTTCTTTTGAATTAGTCATAACAGGAACTCCTGAAAGGAGAATTTCTTCTGTCTTTGGGTTCTTGGGCTAAACTTTATATTCATTACTTTCCTTCTTATTTTAAACTAAAGCAACTCTTCCCTGGTCTTTAAGAAGTGAGCTGGTGATCTCAGCCCGTTTGGTGTGGAGTAACCAAAATAACCACCTCTGTATTTGGTATCTTGGGTAAGAAATGAGGGGTTGGTTGAGTGCTGGAGACCACACTGCTCTTTTCACTCTTTGAGATGGGTCCTACATAACAGCATTGTGAAGCCTAATTAAAAAAAAAAATCTGCAGAGAGGCTTGTTGTGCTGTTAACTAGGTCTCATTGTGTTCTGGGGGCTGAAAATCCAGTTTTTCCAAAAGTCACTGTGTTCCCACATATTTGTGGGTCTCCATGAAAGAAAGTAAAGCAGTGGAAAGTCCTGTAGCAGTTCCCCTTCTAAAATTATTCAGACTTTTTCACAACAAATAGGTAATACCCTTCATATTGAATTTATTTTTTTTTAAATGGATTTTATTTAGCATATATTCCAACTGCTTTTCTCTACTTTCAGCGGTGATTGTGTCTCATTTTTCTGTCACAGTCATCCATAAGAGTAAGCAATCAGACTCGTTTTGAAAAACTAAAAATCAAAATTTCTTTTAGCTTTCTGACAAACCAGATTTTTTTTTAAGAATAACAAAAAATAAATAAAAACCAAACCACACCTTTCTTTTTTTCCTACAATCTTATTGCATATATTAACTATATTCTACGCTCCTCTCACAACACACTACGATTTAAGGGGAACTGTATTCTATAGAAGAACGGTGATTTTATGGAAAAAAAATGTGGGCTGAAATAAAACTTTTCTGTTTTCATGATTGGAGCTTGCATGGAAAGGCTGTTTGATGTACATAATTATAATAAAGACTTCTGGAAACTCTCTCCAGTCAAGAATCAAAATCTCAAAGGACTAAATCATTAATAATGGTTGCTTTTTTAAGTGCTTTAATGGTTCTTCATTCATTACCCCTGTCAATGGAAATTGCATTTCTGATTGGTTTATTCAATTAAAATGTTGGGATATAAAGAAAAATAGTGACATAATTTGAAGATGTCTCTAGTCTTGGTTCCAAATTGACCTAAAGAAAAATGACGTGTGTGCTTGCCCTTCACAAACTGGGATATAATACTGGGAAAAGGACTGGGAGGAATGAAGGGGCTCCTCATGTTCTCTAGAGGGCAGTTTGCTGATGTAGTAAAGGCAGGCCAGGTCCATCCCTATAATGGGTAACACTTGAGGGTTTTTTCGCTTGATGAACTAGAAAGTGAAATATGAACAATGGAAGGCAGCAAAATCAGGTTTGCATCACTCCAGAGCTTTTGAGAATACATTTTCAAACTCAGTTCTTAATTTCTGAAATAAGTGAAATGATTTTATACTGTGTTAATACTTAAAGTGAAGTAAATAGCAAATCAGTTAGCAGCACAGGAGTCATTACTGATTCTAGTTGTGTTACTCATCAAGATAAAATGTCTTTATTTTGAATAAGCCTGCTAGTTCTGGCAAATTTCCCACTTTAAAAATCAGAGGTTTCTGGAATCTGGAGACATTCTTTCATGTCTCTGCATATAATGGTGGTCCCATCTGTGGAAGAAATAATTATTGTGTGGTGTGATTGGCTTGAAGTAATGTATTCATTTTTGAAAGTGTTAAAATGCCGATTTAATCTCCTTGGCTTTTTTTGTTTGTTTTATTTTTCTTTTTTTAATTGCCTGGTATAGTCTGGGTACTTAGAATGTTGTCCATTTTTTTCCCAAGGGGTTGGGCACATGCATTACCCAAGTGCAAAATAGCTGCCATGAGGAAAGGTGGACTCCCAAACCTTCAGTCTCTTTAAGAACTGAGTATTAAGCCACAGGCCTTGCACTGGCTTGTTTATTCAGCAATATTCCACTGGTCAGAGTTGTTAATGATGTTTTTTGCCTCTGCTGTGAAGTAGGTGGGCATTTAGTCATGATAGCAACTGGGCTTTTCAAGGAATACCATTTCATCCTGAAGTAGGGCAATTTGCAGCAATCCAGACTGAAGTGCACAGACTGTAGATTTGAGTCCATCAAATTGTTCTTCCTTCTCTTAAAAAAAAATCCGTGTTGTTTTTGGAGCTTTTTCAGCTAGGATGAGAATTATTCTCAAAATGACACTACAGTAACAGTCAGTGAAATTGTCTACCAAGTACGAAGGTTTTTTTTTTTAAAGGAGATCTATAGCCTGGATCCAGCAATGCAGTTGAGAAGTTTATTCAAAACTATCTTTTAACAAGCAGATAATATCATTGGTTAAGATAGAGAGCCAGCTAGGGAAAATAAAAGCATGATGAACTCTTGGGAATTATGCTTTAGTAAAAGGTCTATGGAACTTAAAAAATTAATTTAGACAGTCTAAAGTGATAATAGCTTTTTATTTTTTTTAAGAAACTGTTTTGTTTCTGAAATAGATATGCAATTGTACCCTCAAAATAAACTTGCTTCCTTTCTTATTGGAAAGAAATCTTTCAGAAATGGAATAGTTATCACTAGGATGTTTTTGTTGTGAAAGATAAATTATGCAGAAATAAAATGCAGGGTAGTTTCTCAGAGTCTAGGACTGGCTATTGTTCCCAAAGCAAAAAAAAAAAATCCTCAACTGATCTTTTTTTTATTATTCACAGAGAGGATGCAGTACCCCACAGCTGAAGAATAGTGTTCAGATAATTAGAATAGAGATTGTGGTATTTCTGTGATTTCCACTTTTTTGGCTACTAAATTTTTCCATTCTAATGGTAGTGAATTCCAAGTGCAAAAAAGATTGTGATAGTTGAGGAGATTAAGAGCAATCACATGTCTATCTTCAAAATTTGAAAATAAGCCTTTGTTTTTGTAATAAATTACATAATATTTTACATAACTAATATTTTATATAATCTCTTAATTCGGGTGGCATATTTTAGTGACAGTCCAGTGGTGTTCTCTGTGTAAGTCAAGATAACCACATTAATGAACACGTAAGTAAAACTTAAAGAAAAGGAGGTGATTATGACTTAAAAGATAAGAATAATGTAAATAATTATTTTTAACAAAGGCTGTTTTCTTGTAATAACTTGCATCCTTTACTGGTTCTGTGTAAATTTATAGAATATGATTGGATTCTGGATCAATAAAAATAAGTACTCGTGAGAATCTAGAAATACTAAGACTGGGATGTGTTCATCCTCTTTTAATCAGAGCGTGATTAAATGGGAGAATTGCATCTAGTACATGTTGTGATCAACAACAAACACAGGAGGAGAGTTTAGAGTAGACAAATGGGAAGGATGATTATTTGAAATGTAAACTTCTTTTAATCAAGCAACAAGATGAACATTTTAGAAAGAATTGCAAATTTTATCACTGCCTGGATGAAATGTTAGAAAAATGACAGCTGCCCTTTGAACCAAATGCACATGGGCTAAACCCAGACCTGCTCAAACCCATGGCAGCATTTGGATGATGAAATGAACTTGGCTGAATTATTGGTTGAAATGTAACTGGTAGCCCAGTGAAGCCACATTTTAGACTTGCATAATTGAAAAATAACGTAATGGATTAAATTAAAATTAAATTAAAATGGATTCAAGTAATTCAATCCACTATTTCCCAACTTAGGAGTCTCTGCAATAATTAAACCTGCTGTTACCGACCACTGATGGAAAACCAAAATGAAGGTTAACAATAAATGCTGGAAGATCACACTGGGGGCTGAACATGTGTAGGCTGCTGCAGAGAGGTTTTATCATGTCTACGGCTTGGAAAGTTTTCAAAAATTGTTTTAGTTTTAGCAGTGGAGAACCAGAAAGCTTGAGCAAATTGGACAGTGTTATTGAGGATATGCATGCATGCCTGGATCAAAATTCAGAACTTTTCATTTAATTTACTCTTGGGCTGCTCCTGGCTTTAAATGACAATATGTGCCATTCCCTTCAGCTGCTGTACATGAAGGGTGCCTGCCCTCAGCAAACACAGGTTGCAGTGTTCCCTCTTTTGTATCTATATGCCACTGGTGAGCTCCTTCTTCCACGTGATATTCCAAATTTCTCTTTCTGAATAATGTTTGGCGCTTTGTTCTTCTTGTGAATGCTTTGGAGATGAGTGCAATGAAGGGATTTCCATCTGTCCATTTCTAAACTTAATTCTGCAAATGTATTCCCAAAATTCCCAGGAAAAAGGTAAATAAACTGGTAATGTAGAATATTGCTGCTTTGTAGAATAACCCATTTCCTGGCTCGATGTCTTCATTTTACTGAGTCAGATTTCAAGGCACTTAGCATATGCTGCAGTTGCTGTTTCATCGTGCAAGTGAAATTCAGCATATAAAGTCAAATTTCCTTTGAAAAGATTTAGCATAAGCTGTAGGTAGGAATCTTTTATTAAATCCACTTTCTCCTCAGTGCTGTATCAATTAAGAGATAAAAAGAAGGAAGCTGCCAAAGAAAATTTAACCCGTGGTATTCTAAAACTTAAGTATAAAGTATCCTCTTCCTTTCAGAAGCATAAATCACTTTACAAGAAAAAAAGATTCTTGCAGTAGTAACAGTATGTCAGGCAGTGTGGAAATCATTCATCCACCACTTAAAAGAATCCATGTGGGAGGGCTAAAATGTAAAGTAGCTTTTCCTAACAGTTTAGGACAGGAAGGGATAAGTGTCTTTCCCAGAGTGAA